CCCCAGCCAGCATGGCTGGCTGGGGAATTCTGGGAGTTGAAGTCCACACATCTTGAAATTGCCACGGTTGAGAAACACTGCACTAGCCCAGACTGGCTCTCAGGGGCACTTACAATGTGGCCCTTTTGTCCTCAAGCAGGTTAACAACCACATCTGGTTGTTTCTGGAACTTGTCGTGTTTTTATTTTTGATTGGTGCATTGCTCTGTGTCTTGCAACCATTACTTTTGCACCTGCTTTCTGTTTCTCAGTTTCTGATGCTTTTGTTGCTGGCAGTCTTCTCTGCATAAAATAAGCCTCAATCATTGTGCACAGCACTCAGAGAACTGCAGATACTGGGCTGCTTAGAAACACAGTCAATAAATCAACGTGTCGCCTGGTCAGCAGCTCGAGATAAATTCTGCTGACTCTGTTTAAGATGGCGGGATCAGTTCCTTCCTGAATTTCTCACTGGTCTTATTCAAACCAAGAGTCAGTTTGGTGTAGTGGAGAAGAGGCTGGCCTAGAAACTGGGAGACGGTGAGTCCTCCTTAGGGATCAAACCCAGCTGGATGAATTTCAGACAATCCCTCTCTCTCAGCCCAGCCCACCTCACAGGGTTGCTGTTGTGTGGAAATTGGTGGGAACATTATGTACGCTGCCTTGAGTTGCACAAAATCAAGGATGATGCTGTTGTGATGATGAGGATTGCAGAATGCACTGAACTACAAGTGAGTCAACTGCATGTGTTGTGTGACCCCTACCTTGTGAGGAGAGTTCAGAGTCCCAGATGGAGCCAGAAAATAGGGCTCATTTGGTGATCCATAGGTAAGAGCGCCATGCAGTCAACCCGAGTGCTAGTGCAAGCTACAGTAGGTGGGATGGACTAGGAGTATCTTTGTGAATTCCCAGAGATATCTCATTACCTCACCCTTACAGGCCATCTGATGGCTTAGGGGCAGGGAGAAGCATCCACAGAAGTTTCCAGGTTCCATCTTCAAATCAGACCTTGGAGTGATTCATACAGGGAGCCCTCGTTTAGCGACTGCCTCATTTAGCGACCGTTTGCAGTTACAACGGTGATGAAAAAGTAACTGCAACCAATCCTTGCATTTATGACCTTCACGAGTCTGTAAAGGAAAGGAAAGCTGAAGTAAAATCGTAGGCACAGTTGTGGTTTCACTTAGCGATCACTTCGCTTAACGACCAGGTTGCTGGTCCCCAAGTTGCTCTGCCCTCGGACTAAACGAGGACGACCTGTATTGCAAACAAATTTAAAGAGCAGGGCTGTTCGCAGGAGGGGGGTCAAGAAAGTTGACCCCTCTCTATGGGGATGGCTAGCCCCATAGAGGCCTGCTGTCTTCAGCGCCAGATCCTTCATCTTCTTGGACTCTCTTCTTTTTTTAGTAATGTTTTTTAAATTTTTGTGTTTTATGTATTTATATGTATTTATGGTTTTAATGTTTTGTGTGACCCACCCAGAGTCCCCCGTTGGGGGGAGATGGGCGGGGGAGAAATGTAATACATTAAAATACTAAAATAAGGTTGAGTTGGTGGCCACAACCAGGCGATCCAAGCTGTTGCGGCATCAAAACGGAGTGGGGCTTTGATTGCATGACTCTGGCTGCCATCCTGACATTTTGACCCCACTGCAGGGAGAGAAAGTTTGGGGAGAGCGTTTGTTTTCTTTTTTTTTTTTTTGGAGAAGGGGCTGTTTTCTGCAAACTGCACCAGCTTTTGCCTTTCTATCTTTCCTGGATGGCTGTTTGACTGTGAAATGGAACTGCCCTGAGCAGAGGCAGTCTACCTCAGCTATCAGACCCTGCAGAAAGAGAAAGCTATTGCTTTTAAGTCTTGCTCATGCATTTCCTGGAAATCTCAGATTAATCTTTACTTGGAAGGGATGCCAGGGCCAAACAGATTATTAACTGAGATGTGTTTTTTGTTTTTTTTTTAATCCCAGGCACTTTAATCTCCGTAATACAGGTTTTGTTTGTTTGCTGGAGTTCTGTTCTCCCCTTCCTTCAGGAGCTCAAGGTGGCATATGGAGCACTCCCGCCTCCAGTTTTTCCCCACCACAACAGCCCTGTAAGGTAGATTAAGCCCAGCCTTGCATTCTCCAGCTCCTCCGGCATCCCCTAAGGGCAGCTGGCCAAATTCTTTGGCCCCGTGGTGGATTATGGGAATTGGAATCAGCCTTTCTGGAGGGAGAGAGAGGAGAATGGAGTTGGGGAAGGCTGAGCTACTCTGCAGCAAACCAAGCGGAAAATTAGTAATTTATTGTCTTGAGTGGTGTTTTGGAAGAAAATTAGTAATTTCAGAGGAAAATTAGTAATTTATTGTCTTGAGCAGCGCTTTGAGGAAAATTA